GAGAGAGAGAGAGAGACTTTCGTTGCATTGTCCACAGATGTTGCCTGCGTTACCTATCGGCTTGGTAGCCGGCGGAGGATGAGGATTGGCCAGGAAATTTCGCCACCGGCCACCCTTGCCACTGTTCCACGTCGCTCCCCACGCGGTGCATACATATCAACATACGTAATACGGCAGACAGTATATATAAATGGTGTACGTACATTTGTACCGTATCGACGGAGAGTAAACTACACCGAATCAGTAGTGAGAATGCCACCGCGCGCGCGCATGGAGTGGCCGGCAGCATGGCCCGTGCTCGTCCTCGTCACTTTGCTCACGCCCTGGAGCAGCGCCGTCGCCGTTGCATCACCGCCAGTAGTGGCGTCGGCGGCGCCGGTGCGGGTGGGCGTGGTGCTGGACCTGACGAGCCACGTGGGGAGGGAGAGGCGCGCCTGCATTTCTTCGGCGTTGGACGACTTCGACGCCGCTCACCTCAGCTCCGACGCAGCGCGGGTCGAACTGCTCGTACGGGACTCGCGCGGGGATCTAGCCATGGCAACACATGCTGGTACATTACTAGTAGTAATATCAAAGATAAATCTCCCTGATGCCTTCATTTCAAGATACTAGATAGACCATACCCCGTGCTTTGCCGCGGGAATCAGCTACGATATATTTTAATGAAATTTAATTGCATGAACATGAATATTTGGATTAACAGTAGTTTCGACACGGTGTGTCTTAGTTGTAGCTCGTATGAAGAGTAAAATCCAAAAAAAAAAAAGACATTGACAAATGTTTTGAGTGCTTGAAAATTTTCATCATAAAATGGCATTCGTGTGAAGTCATGAAAAAAGCAAAACCAACAGTCAGCACGAATGTCATTCAGTCATTCTATGATAGGACTTTACAAGCATTCAAAACATTTGTCAAAGTTTGCCACGGAAAAAATATATAACGGTTTTCAATCTTTTCCGGATTTTACCGTCACACAAGGTCACAAGCTCATCTCAGCTCAAGAGCAGAAGAGGACTTTCACCATAATATTGCATATCTTTAACCACATTACACACGCCCTTAGTTTCCAGTTGAAAGGGAGTTGGAAAAAAGTGTGGGATAAGAAAACTGGATATGAAGGGCGTACGCATGCATGCATGCAATTAGTCATGTTCTCTAAAATAAGTTAGTGAGGGCTAGCTTTTTTTAGGGGTAAAGGGCTAGTTATTTAGGTAGAGAAATACATTCATTCAGTAAGTAGTTCTTTTTTTTTGAACTTTTTAGTTTTCATTTCGTTTTTTTTGGTTTCGTAAACGTTTAAATTGATCGGGTCGGCCCGATGCAATGATGGCCCACACAACCAACCAGAGCCCAGTGCTCAAAACATCTGCTTGCTTTAGCCATCCAGAAGTCCACATAACCCCCAGTGCTTCACAAACCGGCTAATTTACTCCCTGAAGTCCAAAACCGGGTACTTAACCCCCTGCCTTTCTCAAAACCATGTGAATCACCCCCTAAACCGGATTAGAGTGGTTTTGGCAGGTGGTTTTGTCCTTCCGGACCTGCACTCAGCTGCACCTGGCCTTGTCCATCCTCAGCTACACGCCTGCACCGCGCCGACGTCGTGTACAGCGTGGGGATGCAGACACTACCATGTAGGAGTAGCTTGCTGGTCCATTCTTTCAACTCTGTCAATTTCTCCATGGCGAACCTCATCGTCTCCGGGTTGCCGTGCAGCCTGCACCACGCCAGCAGAGTCTCACACATCGAAAGGCATCGCTTCAATCCGGCGCGGAGTGCATCATCGAAGCTGCAGCTCTGACCCAGCTTGTCGACCAGCATCAACGCACTGTCGGCCATCGCCGACCTGAGACAGGAGCGTTGACTCATCCGGCTTGCCGCTGTCCAAGCACATCTAACTGAACTCTTCCAGCAAATAATGGCCACGTCCCCATGCATGTTGTGTGTACCCGTGTATCAGGGACAGGGAGTTCAAGGACGTCAACCGCCAGCCTCACCTTCGTCCTGCCTCTCTCGCCACCAGGCTGCCAAAATCACCTACGAATTCACAAAGATGAGTCGTGCATGTTACCATGTCATCCTCGGCTCCTCGCTGGGCTCGAGGCCAGTCAGGCCCTCGCTCGTGATCAAGACTCCCAGCTCGGCAGGCTGGTGCTCGTCACCGGCCCGAACATGCCGGAGCTGCCGCAGAGCGAGCTCGAGGAGCTTTGGACATAGTGGCTCTCCTCCATCCCGGACAGCACCGTCATGTTTTCCACCTTCGGGAGCAAGATGTTTGTCCCGGCCGCCTGCACAACTCCCATAAGGGCACAGACTTGAAGGCGAAGGTCGTGAAGTGCATGACGACGGGGTTCGAGGAGAGGATGAAGGGGAGGGATGTGGTGCACACCGGGTGGGTGCAACTATATCACATCCTACGAAATCAGAGCGTGCGGTGCTTAGTGAACCATGCCGGACGAGCTCCATCATGGTAGGGCTCCTTGTCGGCTGTTGTAAGTTGTCTGATGTTGTACAGCGAGTACGGAGTACCTCAACGTCGAGCTGTTCGCGCGGGGACCTCGGTGTCACGGCGCGACGGTGACAGGTGGTTTAGGCGAGAGGATGTGAACGACGCCATATACACGTGATTGCAGACAGATGGGACGGGGAAGAAAGAACAATGCCGACCTGGCCCCTCGCAACGTTGCTACGTCAGCAAACCGCCTCGCAAAACCACTCTAATCAGGTTTAGGGGGTAATTCACATTGTTTTGAGAAAGACAGGGGTTAAGTACCCGGTTTCAGACTTTAGGGGGTAAATTAGCCGGTTTGTGAAACCCTAGGGGTGGGGTGATGTGGACTTCTTTCGCTTCGCACACGCGCACAACAGTCGCGGACTCCTCGAGAAGCAAAGCGCGCCGTCCAGCCGCCATAACCCCCATCACCGGCGGCGTCCTCACCAGGCCATCGCCTCAATGTTCCGACGCGCCGCCGCCGCCCCCGCCCGGATCCGAGATGCCGAGCCCTTCCTCCGCCCGCCGCCCTACCACCACTGGCTATGGGCGATGACCGTTGGCCGCACCACCGTTGCCCCTCTAACCTGGTACCTGGGTTGACCAACCCAGCGACCCGCCATGACCTCCATCTTCGCTGCAGCTACAGCCAGCATATGCCTCCTTCGCTCTGGCCTACAAGGTACAGAGCTGCAGGGCCGAAATTTCTTTCAAGTTGTGCAAATCAGAGTTATGCAGTGCACGGCGCACCTTAGTCCTCAGTCCTCACTCTGATAATGCCGATGCAAATCAATGAATAACAGTACAGCAGTAGACTTATTTTCTTGCCTAATTGTACCAAGATTATGCTATTTGCTCGCCTAATTCTGTGTTGCGTGTTTGTTTTGCAGCCGATGACCTGATCAAGAATGGGCAAGTGCAAGCCATCATATGGGGCCCTGAGGTACTGACCAAAGCCAATCACGCCACACACCTGCGCCGCCACCGCAACCACATTCCGGTTATCTCCTTCTCTAGCATTATTTCCCCCGCATCGTGTGCCTTCTGGCTGGAAGATCCTGTAACAGTTCCTGGAGGCTATGCTAAGTTTGGCTTTACACTTGGAAGTGACAGCATAACCTTTCCTAATCCAGAAACCGATAGACAATACAGAAGAAAACTAGATGCACGAAAATCAAGTAAGAGTTGCAGAAGCAAGGCAGGGCTGAATATAGCTGTGCCGCTGAAACTAGGCTTTCAAGTTTTTGTGAATGTTACTGATCCTTATTCCGAGAAACAAAATGTCACTGGCTACAGCATTGATATCTTCGAGGCTGCTATCAGGAATTTACGTCCTCTCCCGTGCTATGAATATTTTGTCTTCAATGGTACTTATGATGAGCTAGTAGGCAACGTGTCTTTGGGGGTAAGGCTTACTCCGACCCACTTGCATCTCATTTTTTACGCATATTGATTTATTAACATTATAATTTCTTGTACCTAAATACCTTTTAATCTCTGCTAAATTTCTGGTGGATAAACAGGTCTATGATGGTGCAGTAGGGGATGTGACCATAACGGCTGAACGAGTCACCACCACCGACTTTACAATGCCATACACACAGTCTGGTGTGTCTATGCTTGTGCTTGCCGAGGATGAACCGGATACAATCCGCTGGACATTTGTAAAGCCACTAACTCGGAAGCTCTGGTTGGCAACCATGGTCTTCTTCTTCTATACTGGCTTTGTCGTGTGGATGATTGAACTACCTAGAAATCAGGAGTACCAAGGATCAAGTTTGAGACAGTGTAGCACCGCCCTCTACTTTGTTTTCTCCACTTTGACATTTTCTCATGGTCAGCACTTCAAGTTTAAACTTCCTGACAATACTTGTGATATTATGATAAGTGTTTTGATGTATTAACACAGTTATAAGATTACAATCTCTTGGTTATCTCATGCACAGGTCATACTATTAAAAGCCCCTTGTCAAAAATTGTTGTGGTGATATGGTGCTTTGTAGTGCTGATTCTTGTCCAGAGCTACACAGCAAGCCTGTCATCCATTCTGACTGCAAAAAGACTCCGTCCTTGGATGACAGATTTTGACCAGCTCCGGCACAGTGGTGACTTTGTAGGATACCAAGATGATTCATTTGTGCGGTCGTTCTTGATGAATCATAACATCAGTGAAAGCAGGTTAAAGAACTACACCACGAAAGAAGAATATGCTGATGCTTTGTGGAAGGGGTCCAATAATGGAGGGGTGTCGGCTATCATTGATGAGATCCCCTATTTGACTTCTTTCCTCTCAGACCGTCGGTATGGAAATGATTTTAGGATGCTCGGGTGCATTTACAAGACTCCTGGATTTGGTTTTGTAAGCCACTCAAACCTTATTTGCAGTGCAGTCTGGACAAAAAAAATGAGTTGCTGACTTAGTGTTCTTATCTTCAGGCATTTAATCTAGGTTCTCCGCTAGTTCATAATCTTTCGACTGCCATCCTGAACCTAGCAGGAGGGGATGAGGGATCACGAATCGAAGTGAAATGGTTTGGCACAACTTCATCGCCGATAGGTGCTGGCACAATCCCAGACACTGATTCCGCGCCTCTCACTTTAGAAAGTTTCTCCGGTCTCTTCGTCATCACGGGATCCATTTCAACTCTCATGCTGCTGATAAGCATTATGAGGTTGATTTATGCCAAATGCATTGAGTTGAGAAAGGCTGATGTGGAAAGTGTCAGCTACAGTGGCACTGACGATGAGTCCCGTCTGTTGCAGAATGGCATAGGTGGCAACCCCAGCCCTGATCAACAACCATTACATGAAGCTGGCAATAATCATTCCGGGGGTGTCCATATGAGTGGCGAAAATGCTGGGGACACAGAGCCAGACCCAGTGCGGCAGAATGGCATGCATGGTGGCTCTGTCCCTGCAGGACACATTCAGATTGAGATGCGCAATGTCTAAGGTAAAGGGAAGCGCCAGATGCTCACCAGTACTTCTCTCGTCATTTAAGTGATGCTGCATTCCGTACCTATATAGGACAAGTTTTTTTCTCTCTTCCGCACTCTCTTGGAAAGAAGAGGTAGATGCTCCGTGTGCATATTCTCTTTAGACGGATACTTATGTTTTCAAAGTAGTACCAATGTACTATAAGTTCTGTAATTTCATTTGTACATAGATGGTGATGAGACAGGTATAGTCCTCAACATTTGTAAATAACAATATAATGGTACTATTTGCATTTTACAACCCTGGATGTTTGAAATTGGAGAAGTTCATGCTTTCTAAAATGTTGCCTATAATCCGAATGGAGTCAGTGTCACATATGTAGTGTATGCCTTTACATGTGTGCTTCGGCCTACTAGGAGAGTGCTAAGAATGAGCTTGGTCAAGTGCAAGCAGAATGCCGTGCATTGTGGCTCTGTGCCCGCAGAGCACATGTAGATTGACATGGCCACTGCCTGAGATGAATCTGCTAGGGAGCAGGGATGCTTCTGTTGCCATTAAAGTGAAGCTGCATTTGACACCTTGAATTGGATATATTCAGTGAGTGATGTGCACATTTGTCTGTACAGATTCACATTATTTATGTTGTGTCTTCTCGAAGCAAGGATGTACTGGTTCTCCAGCTCCTTTATGGACTGTTTTTTTTTCGCGTGTCCTTTATAGACAGTTGATGGTTTAGACAAAACCATAATCTCCAACATACATGGTCTTGGTGAACAAAATCTCAACTTTCAGATGAGCTTATCAGTACCGAATTTGTTGAGAGAATTTATTTTTAAAGGTGCTGCTTTCATTTAACCAATGATAGTTGTTTTTCTTTAATATATCGATAATAGTCAAAGTTAGAGAAGTATGCGCAAGCCTGGAGAACACTAAGTTTGGTTCTACGGATGTCTGTACCTTGAAATAACTAGCACCAATGCATTACCATGAGTCCTTGATGTGACATTAACAGTTCGTAATTGTTACTTCAGATGATCGCCCCCACACACAAACAAAAGAAGAACAAGAAGTGAAACGGCTTTTCACAGACAGGGACAGTTGCAGTGAGATGGAGAGAGTATGTTATGTCAATTCCACTTCAATGCTCCAATTTAATTATTTTGCATCTGCTAGATTTCCTGACGAACTCGGACCTTCATGGGTATCTTTCAGCGGAAATATTGGTTCAACTTCATCTCCCGAGCAATAGCTACCAATCTTGGCGCCTTATTTGTCCAGGTAAAGTTAAGCTCTTTAGGCCTTTCGTTCTTATACCAAGTTACCAGAATATTGTAAACGGAACAATCCACAAACAGCCTATTTCAACAGAAAGAATTGGCTGGCCAGGATTTCCGTCAAGACCTTGCTCGCTAACGATTGACCAATATTGAGAAAATGGAATGTGGTGGTTACAGATCAAAGATGGTATAGCTCAAGCGGCTCATTGGATTGAATTTTGGTCAGGCTTACAATGCCGATGACTACATACATGTTGCTGCCGAAGTCTTTAGCAGAAGAAGAGGCTGAGCACCCTTGCCGTCAAGGATCGCTGGATGATGTCCAAGGGGCGTGACATGCTGGTGTTGTGCTAAGTTTCTAGTTTGATTTAATAATTTCCTCTTGCTATTATCAATTTGGTGTTGTGTTGCTAGTTTCAGAGCTAGGTGTAATAGAAGAGCTAAGGGCATGTTTGGTGTCCTGCATGCAGCTCATGCAGGCTCTAGTGAGTCAAGATTTGGCTGTTTGCTTATCCCAAACAATAAGTGATGTAGTGTCCCTCAAAAAAAAGTGATGTAGTGTCCTTATCTTTCATGCCGTATTTTCTCAAATGAAATGCCTCGAGTATTTATTGATTTGATCCACTATATATCGAGTATCCTTATAAAACTAAACTGATAATAATCATAAAACTGTCAGAATATACGCCACACATGGGTTGCCACATATGGGTTGCTGATTAGTCCTCCCTTCGCGGTGGGAGTCGGTTCTGGGCCCTAGCGGGCTCGGACTCCGACGACTCCGACGAGGAGGAGGCCCCCGGCGGCGGATCTGAGGCGGCGGCATACTCTCCGACGCCTAGCGACAAGGTGTGCGAGGTTTTGGGGGCAGGTTACTCGGAGGAGAAGGTGGCCGGTTTCGTAGACGGGATCGTTCCGACGGATGATCCAGCTTGGGACGGGTTGGGCAAACCGGATGCGGTGGAGGTTCTCCGGCGAGTGGTGCATCGCCGGACGGCTCCGACGGCGATTCGTCCTCGGAAGGGACCATTACTCAAGGTAAGTCTTCCCTCCCTTACTCTTGGCGATTTTTTCGGTTCTTGGAAGGTAGTGAAGGGTCGCCGGAGGAGATCTCGGCTGCCGGTGGCAGTGTCGCCGACGTGCCATGGGACGAGATCCAGGCGATGTGTGCTTCCCGTTTGAAATCGTTGTTGGGCCAAGATGGGCCTGACTCGGTTTGTGTGGACCTGGGAGCATCAGATACTAGGCAAGTGGCCCATGTAGCGACCCCAGCCACCGGTTCGAGCCCCTCAGGCGATCTGTTACGTGGTTCTGCCGAAGAGTTTCCTCACGTACGTGATCGCCCTAGGGTTTTGGTGATCGCTCCGCCGAGCTTCCTCTCGATCGGGTCCGGTCGAGCTCGACGCGTTTCTCCGGCGGGTACAATTGCTACTACCTCCTCCAGCGTGGCAAGCATGGCGGGGCGAGGCCAACCGCCGCCAGCCAAGCCACCCCCGACCGCAGCTCCAGCGGCGCAGCAGGAGGTGCCGCCTGCGGGCCAAGTCATCGGGAGGGGCGGCGCTCTTGCTACCGGGCGGGGCGGTGCCCATGTTGCCGGGCGAACGGGCAACCAAGCGGCTGGACGAGGTGGTGCCCCTGGTGCTGGCCGTGGGGGCGCCCATGGCGTCGGGCGGGGCGGAGGTCCTGCCCGGGATGGTCACCGCGGTGGTGCTGCTAGGGACAACAGTAATGGCGGCTACAGATACAACCGCTATGGCTAGTGGGGTGACGATGGATACGATGCATACGACGAGGGTTAACACCGTGGTTCTTCATCTGGTGGTGGTCGTGGCTCAGGTTGGAACAATGGCAATTGACCGGGCCGCGGCTTGCAAGGACCTCCTGGCAATTTCGTCAAGGGGGTCGCTGGCCCAACCAACCACCCGAACGGAGGAGCTCACCGTGCTTTCCGTGGCAGGAGAGGAGGGGGCGTCGCCCACCTCCACCGCGGCCTCCTACGCCGCCGGCTGATACGACCGTGGTGGCTAATGTCGTGCCTACTGTGACTGGGTAGGCACCCTCTCTTGCGCTTCCTGAGGTAGCTGTAGACACAGTCCAGGCTTTGGCTGCAGTCAGTATTCCGGCGGCTAAGGCTGATGACGCTGTTTTTGAAAAGGATCCGGATAAACGTAATGGTGAAAGTTTATCTAAGTGGGCTATTAAGAAGAAGAAGTTACCGTGCTATAGATGTGGAGAGCCAGGACATTTTGTGGTAGAGTGTACCACAGAACTGTGTGATTACTACTGTAGATCGCAGCATAAGGTCGCTGACTGCCCTCTTCTTTCTGCCCCCAAGCCGGTGGTCACCATTTATGGAGTCTGTTGTCAAGAACTTATGTTTTTTGGGTCACCTGATGTGGCACCTTCGACGCACGTGCATGAGAGTTCCTTTCCCGCAGTACTAATGGGAGTTTGACAGAGTCACAGATTGTGCGTCACCTGCAGGATCTTGTTCCAGGTAATAACAGTGGGACCTTGTCAAGTTGGAGACCCAGACTTGCAAGGTTGATTTTCCCACTAAGGAGGACCAGCTACATATCCTCAAATGGGGCATATGTAGAGTTCAGAGTACGAACATTGTCCTTACGTTTGATGAGTGCAAGGAGAAGGAGCCACTAGTAGAAAAAGGGTCAAATCTTCAGCACATTAGTACCAGTTTGCATATGAACCGACACTAATGGTCACATTAGTGCCAGTTCAAATGGCTAGGCGGTCGTCAATCATTAGTACCGGTTCATGGAGAACCTTTAGTACCGATTCATACCACGAACTGGTACTAATGAGGTTGTGGCAGGCTTTTGTCAGTATGGGGCCCCACCCAGCACGTTTTGCTAAAGTTATTTAGTTGCAGCTGTTTTTTTGTCCCACCTCGCTCGGCTAAAAGGGTTTTTACCACCTTAAATATGTTACTTCTCAAACTATCACAACCACTTAGTCTTCAGTGAACTTTATGTGTAGGATTTGTGGCTGTAATAGGAGTCTTCGCCGGTTCTTAAACTAGGGTAGATTCCTATTGACAATTTAGATTCTATACAAAAAGATCATTGATGATCAATGTATCTTTTATGTATATATTTACATGCTTACACGAACGAAAACTTACACCGGCATCAAACTTTCAACCCTTTCTGACATCACGAAAATTCATCTGTTACACCGGCACTTCATTTTTTTTAAACTTATTAGAACTGCAGACTTTTTTTGCATTCAGTATGCACCATTCAAGGCCACATCATAAACTTTCAACTCTTTCTGACATCATTTGCTATTTTTCATGCATTTAAAGATTTTTTTTGAGCTAAATGACCCTGAAATTGAAAATCACTACAAATGAACTTTCAAAAGGTTGGAACTTGGCCTGGTATCATCATTTCACCCACATAGCATGTGCGAAAAAGTAGAGAGGGTTACGACAAAAACTGGATGCACCTCGTGTACAAACTGGACAATCTCTTTCGAAGTATCAGGGTTTCGGACAAAAACTCATGTGTTACACTGGCACTTCATTTTTTAAACTTAATTATTAGAATTCCAGACTTTTTTTTTGTTCAGTATGCACCATTCAAGGCCACGTCATAAACTTTCAACCCTTTCCAACATCATTTGCTATTTTTCATGCATTTAAAGATTTGTTTTGAGCTAAATGACCCTAAAATTGAAAAGGACTACAAATGAACTCTGAAAAGGTTGGAACCTGGC